AGAGCAGAGAGAGAGGAGAGAGGCCAGACGAGATTAGCCTTACTCGAGTATGGTTATATTATCTGTTCCATTGTGTCACGAGACGGCTATTGCGACGAAGAAAGAAAATACGTGTATATTTCTTGAGAAATAGGACAAAAGTATACACTGTCTACAATACGCGCAGCAAGACTTGGCATGAGAGAGAGACATAGATTTAGTAACGTTGTCTGTATGGACGTCTTCCTAATGAGTTACGTCTGAGGAATGAGACCAGTAGACACCGACGGACCGGCCGAGATCAGTGATGCAGAGAATAGGATGAGAGAGCAAGGAGTCTGATGGAAAAGACGAAGTCGTTTGTTACGGCGCCATTAACCACCTGAACGCGCACACGGTTACTCGTCCGAGATCCCGAGAAGTTAACACAGGACTCGAGGAGAGAGAGGAGAGAGATGAGAGAGATCGAGAGAGAGAGAGAGACCCGGTCGAAGGATACGTGTGAGAGTCTCTGTCATCGTCATTATTGTCATCGTCATCATCATCATTATCATCATCATCATCATCATCATCATCATTATCATCGCCAGGAGGGTTAATGGTGATGAGTTCTAGGTTCATCGGAAAGAGGATTATGGTTTCACAAAGTAATCATTACCGCCAGAAACGCTTCGCACCTGTCTCCCGCATCAAGTATATATATATATATCAATATATATATATATATATATATATCCTTGGGCGTCGCGAAGAGAAGGCACATCATACGGAGATGGACAAGACTAGTCAGTTTTAGCCGACGGCGGGTGTCGTGTTCTATAGCCACGTTTCTTTCTGATCTAGTGTTACGTTTCTAGTCCCTGCGTCCCTCTCATCTGTCTGTGTGTCTGTGTGTTTGTGTGCTGCAGCGGGCGCGGCAAAGTTGAAGCTGCTGCTGAGCTTCGCTGTGGGAGGACTACTCGGTGACGTATTTCTGCATCTTCTGCCCGAGGCTTGGGGACACGTCGGCACAGGTGAGCATATAGCTGGACAGGGCTGCTTGGCTATGGGTAAAGATGCGTGATATATTTTAGATAAACGTGGCTGCCTGTGCATGGGTAAAGATGGGTGGTATATTTTAGATAAACGTGGCTGCCTGGGCATGGGTAAAGATGGGTGGTATATTTTAGATAAACGTGGCTGCTTGGCTATGGGTAAAGTTTGGTGGTATATTTTAGATAAACGTGGCTGCTTGGGCATGGGTAAAGATGGGTGGTATATTTTAGATAAACGTGGCTGCTTGGGCATGGTAAAGATGGGTGGTATATTTTAGATAAACGTGGCTGCATGGGTATGGGTGAATACGGGTGGTATGTTTGAGATAGGCATGGCTGCGTGGGTATTGGTAAAGATGGGTGGTATATTTGAGATGGGCGTGGTTGTGTGGGTATGGATAAAGATGGGTGGTATATTTTAGATAAAAGTGGCTGCATGGGTATGGGTGAATTGGCCTATTGGTGGGTGGTATATTTGAGATGGGCGTAGTTGTGTGAGTATGGGTGAAGATGGGCGGTATATTTGAAATAGACGTGGCTTCGTGGGTATAGATGGCGATGGGTGCATGGCGATATTTTATGGGATTGGAAATGTTTGGAGGCCAGGTAGGAGTGAGTGAACAATTTGGGGGTGGGTAGTGAGGGGTAGTCATTAGGTGGAGATGTTCGAGGGGCTTGGGAGGGTATAGGTAGGGATGTTTGGTGGATGTTTGAGAAGGGGTTGGTTTGTGTGTTCGGGTGTGTTTAGAGGGGATGTGGGGCGTTTGGGGGTGGAGGTCACGAGAGAATGAGGTGAAATTGGCAGTAAGTGGCCTAGCTGTCAAAAATGTTGATTGAACAGTAAACGTGAACAGGAAGTCTTATTAATTAGGCATGCAATATACTACTTTAAATGTTCGCATCTATGTCACTACTATAAGGAGTAGAACCGTCGGCATGTGCTTGTACAGTAGGCGGGCGGGATTATCCTGTTTCTAAAAATCAATGCTACTGATACAATTATTCGAAAATCGCTGATATCTGAAATATTATCAAGAGCTAATAATACGTATAAAATATGCGTGTGTGTATTATTAGCTTTTGATATTATCATTACTTACACACACACGCACCGTCGCAAATCTATTGAGTGCATGTACATCAGAAGTAGATAATAGGGAATTATTAGGGAATTCCCTATTATCTACTCCTGATAGTACGGTGGCGCAGAAGGCTCACCACAAATACAAATCCCACAACACAAATACAAATCCCACAACACAAATACAAATCCCGCAACACAAATGCAAATCCCGCAACACAAACGCAAACATCACAACACAAACGCAAACATCACAACACAAATGCAAACGCCACAACACAAATGTAAACGCCACAACACAAATGCAAAATTCCGCAACACAAATGCAAAAGCCACAACACAAATGCAAAATTCCCTGCCTGCGCCCGCCTGTACTGTTTGTACTGGGTGCATTGTATCAGGAGTAGATAATCAGGATATCTTACTCCTATCATCTACTCCTGATTGTATACAGCTGTTAACCCCCTCCCCCTCCGCACACACGCTATCACGCTATATGGCCGGTAGAGAAGCTGGGAGAGAAGGAGGAGGGGGAGAAACGGGTGGAGAAGGAGGAGAAGCTGGTGGAGAAGGAGGGGGAGAAGCTGGTGGAGAAGGAGGAGGGGGCACCCGGTGCGTGGTAATGGCACGCGATATTCACGTGCCTCACAATTTCGTACTAATTTTAAATTTTGTATATTGGTTGAGAGAGAGGTGGGAGAATGAAAAAGGAGAGGGATAAATAGATAAAGCGATAGATCATGGATGGATGGATGGACGGACGGACGGACGGACGGACGGACGGGCGGGCGGACGGACGGACGGACGGGCGGGCGGACAGACGGACGGATGGATGGGTGGATAGATGTATAGTAGGATGGATGGATGGATGGATGGATGGATGGATGGGATGGATGGGATGGATGGGATGGATGGGATGGATGGAAGGATGGAAGGACGGATGGGTGGATGGATGTATGGTAGGATGGATTGGCGGCCGGGCCGGGCGGTCGGGCGGGCAGGCAGGTAGAGAAAGAGGGGGAGAGAGCGCGAAAGAGAAAGAGAGAGAGCACGCAAACAAGCGAGAGAGATAGTGAGCGAGATAGAGCGAGAATGAGCATGGGACGGAGAGAAAAGTAGAAGGAGAACAACATAGAGCGAGCAGGCGCATAAGACAGAGAGAAAGGTAGAAAGAGAGCAAGAGGAGAGAAGAGCGCGCACGGGAGAGCGCGTGAGTGCAAAGCAAACTGAAGGAGAAATATCAGAGTGGGCGAGAGAGAGAGAGAGAGAGAGAGAGAGAGAGAGAGGGGGAACAGAAAAAACTACGTGCAGATAAAAAGTTTATTCACATTACCTGTAAATCAGTTAAAGATTTTATGTTACGCTTCCATCTGTATACGTAGATGCTAACGGACACGTGACTATAGGACTGTGGGTGATCACAGGAATCCTCTCCTTCATCCTCATGGAAAAGATATTTGCGCAGGATACAAACGCAAGTATATTAGGAGTACATGACATTGAGATCGCTATACAATGTATTCCTAGGGGTCCGTTGTTGGAAAGATTGTAAGCTGTCATGACTTCCATGATGCAGTCTCAATTTTGACAACTCTCGCACTACAATACACTTCCAACGTAACGACGGCTGAGGTTCGTGACGTCATAACTACTTGTGAAGTCCGCCTGCTATATTAGACACAATTCCCAGCCTCTTACTTTGTATGGAGATTCCGACCACTGCTGCTCAAGATTTGCTTACAATCGCGTTACAGGCAACATAAAAAGTTGTCTGGACATGTACGTTGTAACCTGACAAGTCGCGTCCGTTAACCCCGTAGACAATTTTTTCGTCAAGAGTGTTATATAATAACACGTATATGTGCTCTTGAATTCCTTATGTGTCACTACTGTAATATGTAGAATACATAGCATTATTATCTCTGGCGCTTGAATATAATTATGTTTAAAAATATGTGTACTCTTCAGCCTAGCAAGTGCCATGTGTCAGGTCGTTAACCCATTCCATCAAGAAAGAGATCGAGAGTAGCTTAGCTATACTTATACTTAGAATAACTTCACTTACTTCCGTGTGTGGCAGCGAGCTGAATATTTGCCTTGGCACGATTCACCCAACCTGCCCCAGTTCGTGTTATTATGTACGACTGCAGTGTATCACGCATGATTACGCAACTGCATGCTTTGTAGCAGAGATCTAATCTGAACACGGGGTCGTCGCCATGCTCAGCATGATTATCTCGTTTGATCCGCAAATGTGTAATGGAATGTCCGCTACAGACCCGTCTTCTACTATTGAGCATCTGTAGATGCATTATGCTGTCCTATTCCATCTGTAACCGTCGCTATATGTATTATTAGTGTGATACTTAGTTTGCTAATTGTGAGAAGGGCGAAGCAAAATGAGAAGAGGAAATAAGAAGAAAAAGGAAAAAAAGAACGGTGATGAAGAAGATAAGGTCTAAGTGGCAGTTTCGCTGTATTTCTACTGCAGGAGGACGACCATACGGACCAAAAGCTCACCAACCAATACGTCAACCACAATAACAACAACAACAACGTGAAGACAAAGGCGAAGCAGAAACGATGGAGAGCCAACAGCAAGGTCCACGTCGCCAACGGAATTACAAAGGATGTACATTGCCATCAAGTGGTAGGAAGCAGAAGCAGTGGCAGTGATACTGACGCGGAGTTAACGTCATTGGCCGCATCGAAGTCACGTGACCATTGCCTTCATGCTTCTCCAGTGAAGGTATTCTATGACATAGTAATTTGATAGTAGAGTTGGGTACATTAAGGATATTATGGTGCTATTAATAAGGAAACCCGATTTAGCAGACAGATATCTAATATATGAGCAGATTAATACCACGTACAGACTGCAAATTTGATCCTACATTAAACTAGTCCGGGCTAGGCGCGCGCAAAATTTTTGCAGTGTGTATGCGCTATTCTGGGCTAAATACGCAAGTTGCAAAATTGCACGTCTTGTCAAATTTGCAGTCTGTAGGCCTACGGGGTATAAGTTAGCCCCACGAATAGAGGTGGGCCAGGTCAGCTTCAAAGCGTGCTAAGTTATCCTGTACTAAGTTAGCCCATGCTAAAGAGCTTATAATGATCATTATAAGCTCTTTACCCATGCTAAATTGTGTGTGCATGCAATCCGGGACCAAGCGCGGGCTAAATTTTGATATATGCATGCGCATAGCTTTGTTTGGGTCACATAAAAACATAGTAGTGTGTGAAATTGTGTCTGCAATTTAGTGTTTATTCATAACTTCACTAGAGTGTGATTACAACCAGAAGAATCTATCCAGAATGTATGGGAAGGCAGACATTGGAATGTGCATGTTTACACTTCCATTGCTGAGAAAATGGCTAAATTGAATTATAATCGAATAACCAGATTCGATTATACGCCGGTTGCAGCTTCTGCTGTCTATTCAATCGCCTGTTAATATTCTTCTTCTTCTGCAATTGCAATAATACTGCATAAATCCTAATAATTCTATCGGCGGTACTGTCATTTAACCGTCATTTCTGTCTGTTGAGTAACGTAACAAGCTAAACTGTGCATGCGCAGTCAACCCGTGCTAACTTAGCCAACTGGTTGAGCTCGGTGTCTTTACGCTGCGATTTAGCGCGCGCCTGGCTCGGGCCTGGCCCGGACTAGTTAGATATAGGAGCAAATTTTGCAGTCTGTCTGTACGGGGTAATCTACTGACACGCGGAAACAGATGGCGGGCAGAGAGGACGAGAGAGCGAGCATGAGTGCGCGTGCAAGGGTGAGGGAGCATGCGAGAGTGATCGAGTGAGTGGGAGCGAAGGAGGTAGAGTGAGAGGTGAAAGACGAGGGCAAGAGGAAAAGAGAGAGACGTGAGGAAAAACGAGGAAGAGAGAGGGAGTAAGCGCCCGTGTGCGAGAAAGAGATGGGAAGGACAGAGAGAGAGCGAGAGAGAAAGAGAGAGAGAATGTGTGTGTGTGTGTGTGTGTGTGTGTGTGTGTGTGTGTGT